ACAATGTAGCTACAACTGGTGGGGAACTCACTTTAGGAAATCTTGATTCAACAGCAACAGAGATGAATCTTCTCTTATCAAAAGAAAAAGAAGCCCTCTTCTTGTCAAACATCTTAGGATCCATTATTCTAGAGAGAATATTTCAAAGAAAGGTGAAGATTTTGAAAGAAATTAAATGTGTGATTGAAATGAAAATGGATCCCCTATTTATAACATGATGAAGAGCTGTGGTGTTGTGAGACACAACACTGCAGTGCTCAATGCATGAATAAAAAGATAGAATGGTTAGCTGTAGTGGTTCATGCCATGTGGCACAACAACACTATTTTTGGAAATTGGAGTGTCACATTGGAAAGGACAACCACTGACATTTGCATATGTAATCGCTATGGCACTTTGTCAAGAAACCATTGTGATGCTATAAATAAAATAATTATGATGCATAATAATGCCACGACAATAGTTCATTATGACATGATGCTCACTTACTTTTAATAATTAAATTTATAATGGCATAATGTACTTTCAACTTTTGGTAGAGGCACACTTTTTTACTTGAATGACTTAACGCTATGATGCTCAAACATTAAGTACTTCGATGCTCAGTCTCTTTTTTATTTGCATAATTTTTTAGATCATAAATTTAATTATTAACATAAAATGGAATGTAAAAAAATTGAAAATAAAATATATATACAATAAAAATAAAAATAAAAAATGGATATACATAAGTCTAATAATGCAATTAATTCAATAATATAGTTAAACATTTGCAAAAAGTGAACTGCTTCCTCGATAATGGTGCCAAAAACTTAATGCGGGCTATGGAGTGAACATTTGAATTATTAAAATATTTAAGGTGTTGTCTCCCCTAGGTATTGCTTAGGTTTTCTTTAATATAAAAAAATAACAAATCTCTCTTAATATACACAAATATTCGTGCTAAATTAAGTGATAAAGTAATAGATTAGAGTATCAAAGCCACAAGAAAGTATAAATTATTGCAATCAACTACTATTATTTTCTTTAATTATATATAAAATTATCTAGCTGAAATAAAAATATTTGTTTTGGAGATTTAATCACTGAAAAAAATAATCAAAATAATGGATATAATATTTAAATAAAATGTTTGGATTAATGAATATAAAATATATATCTTTCCTAATAAAATTTATATTATAATATGATTCAGAGCATATACATCCTTAGATCTCTATCGAGCCTGTAAGAGTGAAAAGGATATCCACCAATCTCCTATAATTATATCATCTCCTTAACAACCTAGCATATTATACATTCTATGACAGGTTATACAAACATACATTTTAATATACCTGGTTGTTCTTGTATTCCTCTGTCAAGACTATTCATCACACTATATTTTAACTATATATATGGACATTATATGCATTAAATAAAGAACATATAAAATTTAAAAACATCATTTAACTTTATAGCATAAGAATCTTTGTTATTACTTAATATATTCTCTATATCATCAATCTGAAACTAAAGAATCTGCTACATATGAAAGAAAAGATAAACAAACTCATCTTCATTGAAATTATGGAAAAATAAAAATACAAGAGAGTGGTATCATTAAGAAGGGTCAATATATATCATCTACACTTTTTCTTCGTTAATGTACAAAGCTACTCACACAAATACAAACTAAATACTATAATAATTGTATCTAGCACTTCTCTAGCCTCTCTTAGAAACGACCATAAGAGAGATCTAAAGAAGTATTCTAAAAAGTGCTAATATTTGGTAATTGACTGAACTCCCTCAGAAATATAACATCACTATTCTTTAAAGGATAATACAAAAATAGAAGGTGGGGCTACGACTCTTGAAAGAGAGGTGCTATGGTGCCCATCAAAATGAATTAGTGCTTTGGTGCTAAAAATTTGCAACGCCATGGTGCTACTGATGTGGAACATTTACTTAGTGCTTCACTTACATATTGTATCCTTTGTAAGTTATAATGAATACACCATAAGGATTTTAAATTGTGAACACTACGGAGCCCGAGTGGAATATTTGCACTATGACATGATAGATTGCGATGCAACAACGCTTGAAAATAGCAAATACTATACTGCCAAGCTAACCATTTTTATGCTATAGTGCTTGAAGACAATGAACTCAGTACTTCCATATCCAAGTATGGTACCTCAGTAAAGTGGAAGATGGCGTGATGGCATGGAATTATCAGATGTCTCAATGTTATACTCTACTTTAAAATTTTTATCATTTTTTAGTTTTTCCTACTCGTCGTGGTGTAGAAGTTCATGATACATAAATATTCCTGGTTGTTTTTGCATTTCTCCATCGAGGTTATACATCACACTAGATTTTAACTACACATATGACCATTATGTACATTAAATAGAGAGCAAAAATATTGAAAATATCATTTAATTTTATATCACAAAATTTTTTATTAGTATTTAATATGTACTCTATATCATCAATCCAAAAGTAGAGAATTAGTCAGACATGGAAAAAAAGAAAAGAAAATTCCTCTTTAGTGAAATCATGGAAGAATAAAAATACAAAACAGTGATATCACCAAGAATGGTCAATGTATATCCTCTATACTCCTTCTCAACGTACAATGTTGCTCAATCAAATACTGATAAAACACTCTAATAATTAACTCTAATAGTTCTCTAGTCTCTCTTAAAAATGTCTTTAAGAGAGTTCTAAAGGTGTACTATAAAAAGTACTGAAATTAGATAAATAAATAAACTTCCTTAAAGATATAATATCACTACTATTTATAGAAAAATACAAAAATACCAGGTGGCACTACGACGCTTGAAAGAGTGGCTCCATGGTGCCCTTGAAATAAATTAGTGCTTTGGTGCCAAAACTTCTATACTGTCGTGACGCTTAGAGATGTGAAATAGTTACTTACTGAACAATCTCATCACCTCACTGGTAGATCGTATCATTTGGAAGTTACAACTACTATGCCATGGTGCTTCTAGCTATTGAACGTTGCGATGTCCGAGTAGCAGATTTGATGCTAAGGGGTGATAGATTGTGACACTACGACACTTGAAACTAACGAGCATGATGCTACCAAGCTGACCATTTTGATGCCACAGTGCTTGAAGACAGTGAACTCAGTGATGCAACATCAATGTATGGTGCCTTGGCATTAAGGAAGATGGTGTTGTTGCATGGAATTTTTGGACTCCGCAGCACTGTATTCTACTTTAGATTTTCTATCATTTTTTTGTTTTTTCATCGCATAGATAATTGAAACAACACATTTAAATTGATAAAAATATTTATAAAAATATAACATAACTTATACTTATCAATTACTACTTTCATTCCAACTGTGGCTTCTTTTATGCTAAGGCTTAACATCATTGTGTTGTTTTAGTTTATTAATGGATCCAATTTTATCACAAGATTCATAGAAGTTTTTAATATCTTGGTAGTTGTTGCTCCCTATGATTTTTCTGGAATGAGAGGAATGCTAGAAGGTTTGAGCACCATTTTTCTTGTTTATCTTCTATTTACTATAATCTAAAGTTGGCTCTATATTCTAAGATGAATGGCTAGAAATTTAAGTCACCGGTGCAATCTTTGTTGAGTTTAAGGAGGTTTCACTATTGGTGTTTTTAAATATCCCATTGCTGCGATGGCAAGTTCTATTTTTAGGTGCTGTTACTATTTCTATTATGGCTATTTGGTTTCCTTCTTATTGATGCATGGGGTTATTTTTAAGATGCAATGGTTGGATTTTTTGCTGCCTTTTGGTAAGACAATAATGAATGGTGCTACTAATGATCCTTCCCCTTTGAGGGCCATTTCCTCAACCTATCATTCCTGGAATGAAGTTTTCCTGCAACCTGGCTTCCTAACAAAACAATATCGATAACTTTAGGAAATATTTATAGGATTGCACTTTTGTTTTGTCTTTTGTTTGCACTTTTTGAATTCTAAGTCCAAAATTGTGATTTTCTTCAATTTAATTTTGTTTCATAAGTTTTTAATGTAATTTCATAGTTCTAATTTTATTTTTATCATTGTTGATAGTGTTGTCATTTTTCTTGTTTTACATTATCCATGTAATTGGCTCCTATAGTCAATGAAATGGGCTTTGCCCCTAATTCACCTCCCTCCCGAAAGAATAGAAAAAAAACCTAGGCACTAAGGAGTGAGCTTGGGGAAATCGACATCATTTAAAAACGAGGTCAACAACAAAGTGGCAAGTTTGGTAGTGGCCGGTTGGCAAGAGTTTTGTTGATGATGGTGCTATGGTTGATCTCTTGAATTCATGAAGCCTCAAAGCTCCCTTGAATGTCTAACAAAAGGGTCCCACTACATGTCAAGAGTGAGGATATATTTATTGATTGTATTGGGTCATACCTCATAAAGATGGAAGAAATTAAGAGCCAATCTTATGCATTCTATCAGATGACACATATTGATTCCCTCCTTCATTGGTGTTTTCTTCAATATTTAAGCACCTTAATGATGTTAGAATTAAATGATCTTAGGTATGTTAGATTCATCTTGTCGAGCTCCTCTATTCAACAAAAAGCATGCTAAATTTGGAGATTAACCGGTTATTCAATTAATGTTTTGAAATTTCTAAAGCTTTAAGTCCTTGATTAAGGTCCATTCAAGCATGAATTGGATAATTTTTAGTGTTGTATGGCTTGCCTCATCTAGATGTCCACCACAACAATAAGTTTCTAAATTTAGAGCTTCATTGATTCTGAATTTAATTTTGAAAATTTATATTTAAATATACTCTGAGATTTGTGCTCAATGAAAGCAAATTTTGAAGATGGATCAAGAGTGATGTGCACATGAAGATTATTCATGTTCTCATTCCATAATTGTAATAGAAAAATAATTGTGTTAAATAATTCTCAATAAAAAAGAAAAGCAGCATTAAAATGAACAGTCTTAACACAAGCATCAATTAGTTACTGCATTTATATATCAAACATAACATAATTATCACTTTCACCACACCATTAACGTACACAAGATCTAATCAAACATGCAAATCATAGATAAGACAAGACAAGACAAAACAGATCAACGCGTTGCAAATAAAGATAACCGGATTGACTTAATAAACTAATTAACTTTTGTATAGGCCCGCATTGGCTGACTTAAAGACATTGGCCTGTGCAGCAGCGGCACCGGCGTTGACAAGCGCTGCAGCGAAGGAACTCTTAACCTGCTGTTTAGTAAATGGAAAGGACTTGCACGCAATAGAGTTGAGAAGGGCGGCTGTTCCTTCTCTTAGGAGGGCACTGAAGCCGTCGGTATCTTTGTTAGCGATAGCGTCATGAAGGGTGGGATTTTTTCCTCCAAACGCAAAGACGCAGCCAGCGCCGAAAATGTCTCCCACGGTGCCCAAATAGCCAATCACTGCTACAATCTTGTCGGGGTGGGCGCTCCAATAGCTGCAAAGATTAATCACATCAAATTATTTTTAGAAAAAATAACGTTAGGTATAAAATTTTTAAAAAATAATTAGGACAATTTCTTAAATTTTTAAATTTAATAATAAAATAAATGACAAATAGAATGAATTATAAATTTTTGGGAAAATTTTCATATATAATGTATCTCTCGCCGAGCAACGATATTTTTTGTGAGGGCATAAATTTTAAATTTTATGATATGCTCAATATTTTTGGTTCCGGCTTGAGATCGATATTGACTATTTTAATTTTTATTATAGTTTTAATATATGAAGATAAATTATAAAATTAGTTTAAAAATTATATTTCATTCTTTTTATTTTAAAAATTAAAAAGATAAAGATTGCTTTAGTTTCAACAAAATAAAATCTATTTAAAATAAAGAAAATGAATCGGTTTTAATAAAAAAAAAATAGAAATAAAATATAAAAATCCTTTTATGGTTAATTTTTTTTTACAAGCAGTAAGAGCTCATGCCCCTAGAGCTTCTAGTTTGTATTTATTTATTTACATACCTAATACATGAATCTTGATACTTACTTATATAATATTTTCGAGTTTTATTAACATCAAAATAAACATATGAAAAGATATTTTTTTAACTTAAAATTTTGATATTAATTATAATTTTAATATTATTCAAAGTTCCATGTGTTATATAATCAATTATTAGTTATTAGATCCCGCAATACGTTGGAAATTTAAAGTACGCAAGTAGATCACCAATTATTACAGGTATATCTCTTTAGCCTGTTTCTTGAATTTTTAGGCAATCAATCAAGAGATTATAGGTATTAATTTTTGCACATGCAATATAGATATAAAGGTTTACAATTAAATTTGCTCAAATTTAAAAAAAAAAATTCTTTCTTCCATATGTGTCATAGATATAAGTGATATTCTTAAAATTAAATATTCTTTGGCCCCGTGCAAATTTGATTTTAATCGACGTCTCGATCCCTAAAATTAATGTATATAAAGAAGGTTATCTTTTGCAAATTACCTCGTCAACCATGACATACCGATTCTATATTTGATAGATTTTGGGGTAAATCTTGCATCTGATATGTTTTTTTTTTTTTTGTCACTATTTTATAAAGGAAGGATACTTTTTTTAATTGAACGCTAAACATCAATTTTGCTTAGCCATTTTAACATTTTTTTTCATGATTTTAATTTCACATTTTCTTTAAGAAAACATCTATTCTCATGCTTAATAGAAAATGGCTTGCCTGCATGTGCCAGGATGGTAAGGTGGGCCGCTGTGGTCATAATCCGCCGATGGAGAGGGAATGGTGGTCGTCGGCGGAGAGGGAAAAGTTGTCGCTGGCGTAGGTGAGGTAGGGGAGCCACCATCGCCGTAGCTTGGAGGTGTATTGTGGTGTACTGATCCGCTTCCATGGGAGGGCGTCGTCGGAGTTCCGTGGCCGCTGCTGCCGCCGCTAGGGGTGGGACAGGAAGGAGACTTTGATGATGAATCTACAACCAGTACAAGGCCAGTGGGCTTGTTACAGTGATTTAATTGTAAGTAAATTAAAAGAAAAAATGGTTTCTGGTCCTCACCAGATTGTCAGCATGAAAGTTTTTCGAAGTATTTCAAAACTAGTATAATTAAATCAATCAAATATGATAATAGTTTTAAAATAAATTTAAAGATTTTGATGTTTATCATGAAATGTTTTTCATAAGATATTCTAATTAATATTATTTTTTTCTTAAATTTAAGCGAAAAGAAAAATTAAATTCTTAATAGAATTATCAAATTTTAAAGGTGATTTATCTTTTAAGTAATGAAAAATAAATAAATAGTTAAAGTTGGTTCATGTATTTAGGATGAATATATATAATTTTTTGATAAAATTTAGGATAAAATTCATTGTCCTTCTAAATCACTTATAATATATTTAAATATTCGAATCATTAAAATAAAAAAAAAAGTTTTAAAGTAAATTTTAAATATTTATACATTTGAATGAACTATAAGTAAAATAAATTTAAGCCATTTAAATATTTTTACTAAATAATAAATTATCTAAGCAAATGAATTCTATACTTCTGACAAAAGATATAATTGGAACAAAAGATATAAACTTAATATACTGTAATCAGAGAAGGTGTTATAGCTAATTTGTATCCGCTGCTAGTAAGACACTTACTTGGTTGATTGTCTGTCTTAAAAAAATAAAATATAACGTTAATAAAAAGATGATTTGGAATACTGATTTAGGTTTTGTTTGGAACGACTTTCTTAATACTTCTTAAAGCAATTCTTTTCGTTCAAATTATTAAAACTAAGATTTTGTTAGGAATGACTTTCTTACTATTTCTTAAAACAATTTTCAAATATTAAATTTTTAATTTTTGTACTAGAAACCTACTTCAACAAGCAATAAAAAATGGTCACAAACAAAGGTTAAGCTTTGTTTGGGATTATTTTATTTTTGCTTTTTAGAATGATTTTCTAGTATATAAATTGTAATTTTTGCTAGCTCTAAATCTCTATCGAAGCTTAAGAATTTTTTTTACTATAAAATTTAGAAAGCATTAATAAAACTGCCCCAAACAAAATCTTAAAATGCAACAGCATGAGAATAAATTTGAAGTGCGTTGGATTCACCACCTACAGCATATTCATAATTAGTGAATTTAAAATTTTAGAATATGATTGTGAGTTGCCTACGCCAACGCATAAACGTCACAAAATAATACATGGAAAAAATATAATGGATTCTCTTATCTAACCATTTTTCGGATTTATATAATCAGTATATGAAAAAATTGTTGACATAAATATCTGTAAAAAATATACGGCTATTAATTTAAAATTTATTTAATCATAAATATAAGATTATCAAATTTTATGTCAGGACAAACAATAAAGTTTAAATCTTTTTTGACACAAAATATCGAAACAAAATAAGTATCTTAAAATTCGTATATAAATGTTTTATACTAGGAATTTTTACATACATACCACTTTATAACATGTGAATTACATATAACATCCAAAACTTAAATATTTCATATATACCACTCAAACAAAAATTTAACCTCAAAAATGCCACTCCACACTCCGTTTCTAAAATCCCTAACTGTGCTCCTTCGGCTCTTCCCACCGAACTCTCGTTTTTTGCTTTTTGTACCGCCGGTTGGTAAGATCTGCTCCTCTCTTTGCACCCTAAACTCCTCTCGTTATTAGCTTCTCATTCGTCGTTTGGAGTATGTTCTTTAGCCATTCTCTTCCCACCGAAACAATTTTCTTCTCGTTCTTTGCTTTTTGTATCTTCAGATTTATGTTTTTTCAGATTTTAAGATTTCTATATTCTATAATAAGTTCTGTCTTTTTTAATTTACCTTTTGTTTTCAGCTTTTAGATATGCACTTTTTGTTTTCAGCTTTTAGATCTGCACAGCAGGTTTGTGAGCAGCTACGGTGGAAGAAATTGCATGGAGGAGCAGCTAGGGTGGAAGAGAAGCTAAGGTGGAAGAGCAAAAACGGTTTGCTGAAACGTGTTCTCCCGCAGAAAACCAAGGCGGCGGGAAATTAAGATAAAACGGAGTGAGGTTGCTGTTAACCGAGTTGTAATTTTGTTGTGAAAGTAAAGGATAGATGGTATGAGTGTAATATTTAAGAATTAGGTGTTAAATATGTAATACACATGTTATAAAGTGGTATGTATGTAAAAATCCCTTTATATTAATAAACCTTTTCTATCATTTATTTTTTAATATTAATATAAATAATGTTCTAAGTGATGATCTAATTGTTTTATCAAGCTGATGAATTCCATCGACACACCTTTAGCTCATTAGAACAAAATTGGGAGATGTCTGCCAATTAGAAGCACAGATCACCCAACAAGTGCCTAACTGTATATGGCAAGCCCGATCAAAATTTTGAAATCCTTACCGGATGTGGATACGTTAATAAAGAATTCTGCCACTCGTATATTGTTAGTTTATTTTTAATTAAAAATCAAAATTACACTCGTCCCCTATTTATTTATTTATTTATTTTTAATTTAAGCGAATTTAATCGAGCTAACCAAAAAGCTGAGATAGGCTGCATGTACACCATAACGTTCTATATCGGTTATTTCTTCATAAAATATTTTGTGTTTCAATATATATATATGTAGTAAAATGTTCTTAATATGTTTACCACGTTGCATGTGAGAAGCATTGCTCTAGGAACAAGCCAAAAATCATCATGAAAGAAAAAAATAATAATAACAATAAGCAACAAAAGTCATATATATATTCTCTTGAAATACCAAAAAAAAAAAGTCATATATATATTCTCTTTTAACGATCAAATGCAACTGCTTACGTTTGTGAGGGCTTCCATTATATGGAGTACTAGGACCATAATAGTTCTTCTCCTCAGAGAGTCCCTCCTGAATCCTCCGGCTACAAGAAGCTGGAGTTGACAAGCTTTGAAGAGCTAACACTGAAACGATTGTCCAAAGTAAGAAATTATTCTCTATCTTACTCCCCATTTCTATTAAACTCAACAATGGCTGGAACCCAAAAGTAAGAAGAATTCGAAAGAAGAAGACAAGAGTTATTATAGGGATAAGAATGGAGCTATCTGTGCGGAGATGAGAGAACATGGATAGGATATATATATACAATCAAATGGATAACAAAGCATTCATGAAAATGAATACAGCAAGTGGAGTACAGTCTGTTGTTGGTTGATACGCCATGTAGCGTCATTAATGGGGTTGATGAGCATCTCTTTCTTAGGTAGAAACTGGTAATAATAAGAAAGAAAAAAAAGACCGAATAAAAGTCAAAATTGTTGGAATTTTACCAACCAAGCAATGCGGCGTTTCATTTTATTTTATTTTTTAATTTTTATCTTCAAACAGTTTAAATGAACAGTTTCTTTTTTGTTTTTTTAATTTTTTTGTGAACAGAAGTTTGTGTTAGCGTGTACTGGCTTAAGTGGGTTCTCTTCTTCCGATTTTTGGTTTTTTCTGTTTGGTTTTTCTTTCTTCCATCATTGGTATCAGAGACAGGTTCGAGAATGGCAGTGAGTTCAACTATCAATAATTTACAATCTATGTTGCCCAACTTCACGGGAAAGAATTATAGTCAATGGAGTATTTAAAAATGGGTATTGTATCAATCTCAAGAGTTATGGGAGTTGGTAGAAAGTAGTTTTCAGGAGCTTGAAATTGAGAGAGTTTTTAATCAAAGACTTCATCAAGAACTGAAAGAAAATCGAGTGATTCAACACCAATTGAGAAAGCCTTCAAAACTCAAGTGACATTGTGTGGGAATTTCAGAGGTGGCCGCGGAAGAGGTTTTGGTGGAGGAAGAGGTTCTTTTGGTAGAGGAAGAGGTTTCTTGGTACTAGAGGAAGATGTTGTGTTGGTAGAGGAGAACCTACATAAAGTGATGGAGGTAAAGTACAAAGAGGAGCTTATGGTAATGGAGAAGGTTCATGTGGTCATGGACATAGCTTTGAGGTATAGGGAGAAGCAACCTTGCAAATATCAGATGTCACTTTTGCAAAGGGTATAGACACACTTATCAATGTTGGAAGAGACATGAGAATGAAGAGGCAAATGTAGATATGATGCAAGAAAATGATGTGGAAAAGGTGAAGACATAATGTTTCTTACACGTAGTAAGGAGTTTGATGATTCGGGAGATGTATAGTTTATTGATAGTGGTTGTTGTAATCACATGACTGGCAATAAAATTTTGCTTTTAATTTTGGAAAACTCAATCCAAAGTGAATCACACACAGGAGATGATAATATATTATTTGTGCAAGGAAAATGTTATAATTTAGTACAAACAAAGAAGGGAGAAAAGAAGTTATTTGAATTGTTCTATATTTCAAATCATAAGCAAAATTTGCTTAGTTTTAGGCAACTAATCAAAATGGATATGTTATGATATTTTCTCTTGACACTTGTACCATTAAAGAAAAGCATGAATTTTTCCTATACAATAAGAATAATCATATACAATTAATTTATTCAATCTTAAATTACAAAAGTGCCTTAACTAATGATTCTTCTTATTAATTGATCATCTAGTACGATGTAAGTTTTATTGTATAATTAGTTCTAAAAACTCATCTTTTTCTTAACTCACTAATTCACTCTCTTAAGTGTATGTATGCAAGGTTACTTAGCTTTAGGATCCATCAAAATACATGATTGACTCAAGAAAGATAAAAAGTACAAAAAGACTAAAAATACAGACTTTAATCTACGTCTACCCAATCTTGAATTGATCAAAGTTTCAAGTGAAGAGTGGACCTAACATATTAATGAGCAGCGCAAAATAGATATGAAATAAACTCAATTATTAGTAGATAACATAGTAAGAAATCAAATAATATTTGTTATCATCAAAATCACATGGCTTGGGTCAAGATTTGCAATAGTCGACCCTGACCTTTGCGAGTGATTTCATGAAGATTGGAATGATTTTGGAGCAAAACTATTAAAACCCTCATAATTAACTAATTAAATAATTTAATAAAATATTAAAACTTTAATAATTCATAATTAATTCCAAAAAATTCCAAAATGAGAAACTCAAATGCATTAAACTCCATAGAGGGTATAATATTTTTTAAAAATGTTAAACCTCCAAAAATCAGTCTATTTCAAAAAGTCAACTATTTAGTCAACATTAGTTCAAATTTGGATTGAAACTTCAAAAAATCATAATGTAATATGGAAAAATAAAATTTAACAAACTTAATATCTAATTACTTACCTTAGGGTTTAGTATTTAGGAAATATATTAAAATAACATATTTCAATCTTATTTAAAAAATTCAAAATTTGACTCCTTAATTTACTTATTTAAATAATATGATAAACTAAAAAAATCCAGTAACAACTCAAATTCTAAAAATCATCAAACTTAATTCTTCAAAATAATAATCATTGAAATTAAATTTAAATGTATCAAATCTTAATTTCTAGCCAATTAAATTAATTGAATATTACTTGTTACTACTTGGTAACTCGGGCCTACGAGACTTTTAACTTAACCTCAAAGAAGATGAAATAAATTTCAAAGCCATGGTGTAAACAAAGGTAGTAATAACTCAATATTTAAACATACATCTTAAAATCAGAATTAAAACATTAATACTTAAAGTCAAACTAAAATCCCTTAAGCCTATAATAATCATCAAAACACTAAACAACTCTAATAACTACCTAATATAGTGCATATCCAAGTCTGATGAACACACTTCAAATGATTTGGTAGGATAATCAACTCTAGCTTTAGGCTCAACTGGTGTTTTATATTTCTATTACTTGTGTGCAGGATTTTTCATGTTTTTTTACTACATGAAGGTACATTCAGTTGATTGATGTGATTGCTTATTTATGTGATAATGTTATGTTATTTATGAATTTATGTAATGGGCATTAGATTACCCCAAGGTTAAGAATGGTCTAGATGTTCATTAAATTTTTTATAGGTGGCCATGATCATGTAGGGTTATAAATTTTTGGGGCAAAATTTAAATTTTATTGAGGAATTTTTATAGGTGCTAAAGTGTTAAGTCTCCATTAAAATCAAAAGAGCACAGCTAAGTGTGGCTGTGAATTTAATTTGAGCAATTCAAATATACAAATGATTGGGTTGTATTTTAATTATAACTTCTTAGGATAATTATATATACCAATTGTGTAGAATCTTTTATATTTTTGAAGTAATGTAATTCAAATGAGTTGTATTTTGAAAAACAATTTTGAGATAGGATGTCGACCATCCAACTTGAAATCAAAAGAGAAGGGAGGGGGGGGGAGTTCTTCTTCATTTGGTAATTCATGTTATAATTATTTGAATCTAAAGAGGAATTAAATACATTTTCATGGAGGAATTCTTTTCATTTGGATACCTGGACCTGATGAATCCAAGAAGCTCATACAAGAATGAAGTTGTGAAGAAATCAAGAACATATCCCATTCTCAAAATCACACATGACATTTATAGGATTAGAAGTAGGGTAGTTAGCTATGGTACTTGACCACTTTTAATTCCTATAAACAATGGGTTATAATTAAGTGTCACTTACCACATAAACTTTACAAATATTTAATGACATAATTGATTTTTTACATTTATTATGCCTTAGAAAATACATACTTTTCTATGTTTCTTTATTGTTGTAGATTTTGATTTAATATGGAAATCCTTGAAGGCTAATGAGGGTATATTAAAAACTTTTTCTACTAAAACTCAATAAAAAAGTTAAGGCGCACATAGAAACTTAATCAATTTTAAGATGTAAGGTCGGAAACGATACATGAGTTTGCATGCATTCATTTTGAATGTTCTCTACCTAGTTAGGCACCTCTCCACCAACATATTCTAGTAGATTACCTAGCTAGCCTATTAGCTTGCAGCTCTGTCTAAGTAAAAATCTAATTCTAAGACTTTTTAAAATTGCTTCATATCATTTGTGCATTCAATGTTAATCAACATGCATTACATTAAAATTTAATAAAAGGGTCAAAATTTTAATTACATTTTAAAGCATAATCATCCTATATAAGTTAAGGGGTCACCTATGACATTCTCCAAACGTCAGCACCAATTTCTCAAAAAATATAAAAAATAGCCCACCCATTTTTCCTAAAAGATTGAACTCATGATTTTAAAGCTCATAGGTAGTTAGTTGGCTCCCTAAACCAAGTTGGGATAAGTCTAGGTTTGTACTACATTAGTTAGGTTCAGGATACTATTATTTAGTGCCTAAACTACACTTGGGATTCAGGGCATACAAAAAATCCTAAGATCCCACGCTTGGGAATATAATTACAACTTTATAATAAATTTCCATTAAAACCAATATTTAAAACCCAACATCCTACCTTTCATCCTTTGGTTTCTAGTAATAAGTTCTCAAATTTGATCCAATCCCAATTGAAAACTCCAGCCTCACTCCCATTGATATTACTCCTTGAGAATTCAAAAATAGAAATCTATCATTATTTTAATCGAGGATTTTTGTAAGAAACTATCTTGAAAAATTAACTACATGAGCTTGCGCTCTTAAGAGATATAGAGACCCCATATTACTTTTAAAATTTAATTATATCTCTTTGGGAAAATTTAAAATAAATAATAATTATTATAGTCATATTATAAAGATAGATAATAAATGATACTTTCTTTCCTTGGAAAGATATATCAATTATTATCATGACTTTGAATATGAAATTAATGATACTTCATCTAGACTAGCATATTCAAATACTTGATCTAACATCATTTTGACTCTTCGGGGTTATATATAGTTCTTACTTGAATTTGACTATCATAATCAAGAAGAGACTTACTATTTTATTATCTCAATCCTTAAAAAAGTGATATCTTTGCCCCCCGAGATGATATATCATTGATAATGATGTAATTGACTTCAAAGCTAAAATTCAAGAAATTAAAATTTTCTCAAAGAAATTTAATTCCTATTTTACTTTGTATCTTTCTAATGCAAAACAAAGATTT